TTGTTTGTTTTTTATCTTTGACTGATAGTTTGGCGTCTTCTGTTTGGCAGTAGAAATCAGGTAGAAATACGCTTAAGATAATGATTTTAAATTAAGAAAGAAATAACTTATTCCATTTAAAAACTATTAAATAATATATTCAAATATAGATTATTATTTCAGAAGCTTTATAAAATAAGGGGACTTTAAACTATGTCCTCTCAATCATTATGATAAATCATGCTCTAATATTTTTTGTTGTTGTTAAATTCCATTTACTTTTCTTAGATTAATGAATGCCCTTTTTTGTATTACTGATACTCTATTTAAAAAAATTATAAATAATTAAAATTAACATAATTATAATGAATTAAAATTATTTTGTGAATAAGAGTAAAGCAGGTTTTGTTTTAAGGAAAAAGAGAACAGAAAAAAAAAAGTTTTAATGAAGTCTTTGTTTTAAAATTACAAATTAAAGTCATTATAATCAGTTTTTTTATTAGTTTTTTTCAAGGAAATAATTTCGAAATAAAAATTTCATGAAGGGTCCGTTTCAACGATAAAAAATTTGGTGAAAAGACCGTTAACGGACTCAAATTTCTTCTAAAAATGACCTCTGATGAGAAATACAGTGGAACCTGTCTAAATTGACCACCTTCGGGACCAAGTCAAATGGTCACTATATAGAGGTGGTCACTTTATGAAGAGTCTTTAATAAGGACTTTTTAAATAAAACTTGCAGAAAATGGTCACCTTACTCAGATTCTCACTTTAACCAGGTGGTCACTTTTACAGGTTCCACTGTATATTTTTTTCAAGGACAACGGAAGAAATTGGACGAAATGGAAGAATTCTATGTGAACAATATAATTGTTTTGCAATAGTTTAAATTTTAACAAAACACAGTTTGTTTAAATTTTAACAAAATAAATATAAAATAGTCTCAGAAAGTTAAGTTTTTCACATTAAATAAAAAAATATATACATCTACTTTTTATATTTTATTTCAGCTTTATACAAAACTCTAAAATAAAATAGATTAAGAATCAGTTTAAGTAATCATAGTTGACAATATTTGATAATAAAAACTAGTACGCTACTTGTAATTTTGAATTCAGTGTGTGTAGTATACGATTTGTTAATTTAGAAATATTAATAAAATTTGATTATGACTTTTTAACTATTCTTTAAATAACTATAAAATTAGGTTTTATTACACTCCTCTACGTATAGAAACCACAGTTGCTTTACGGTCTTAAATTCACTAAATTTATACTTTTTTCCAGTAGTTACTTTTTAGTTTTGAATTATTTGAAATTAACTTTACAATTTGTAAAGACAACTTTATGTAGAACCTGAATTATTCTTTTTTCAAATGAAGAATTTGAATATGTAATAGTTGTATATCAAATTTACCACAGAGATATTTTCCGTTGATTAACTGATAATCTCTGAGAAAAGAAAATTAAACCAACCTTGTGAAACCAAAGATCTCCAGGCATAGAAAACGAAATTTCTCTCAGATTAAAAAAAATAATCGCCAATTTGGAAGAATGGATAATAGAGGAAGACGGCCAGGAATTGATTATTCGAATCATTTCCTGCGTTTGAAATCTTAATCATTATCATCGCTAGCTGAACATATTCATTAGAATATTATGTAAATCTTCAAGAGGAAATTATGGGTCTATATTAGTTGCAATAAATTAATAGGGATGTACAACCTTAAGGCCAGGATTTCAAAAACTAATATCAATTGAATTTGAAAAAAATATACAAATTCCAAAAGGAGGATGCACTAATCAAAAGATTTAAATCCGTCGATATTAGGGTTCTTGTAAGAAAAATTCATTCATATAAACCATTCAAAACAAATGTAGTTAAAAGATTTCGTTTTAAAAAATTAAATTAAGTAGACTTAAAAAATTAAATTTTCCCCTTATGACCCCTTGAATTTTTCCCTTATTTTATTAGAAAAGAGACGGTGTACACACCTTAGCTTTCTTTTACTTTGTAAGCATATTATGGATGCACAGTTGTAATTATATACAATGCTGTACTTTACCTTCCAAGTTTAAAATAAAATAGATTTTTGTCGCGCAGCAATAATTAAGAATTAACACAAAAAAATAGCATCAAATTTCGGTACTGAAAATCATTTTATATTTTCCAATGGCCTTCTATGAAAAAAACTGATTGCTCGTTCCTATTTCATTTTGTTACACATTTAGTGAATGACGATGAGAGAAAAAAAGAAAAGAAAAAGAAAAAAAAAAAAGAAAAAGACTAATTTTTCACAGGTTTGAGAGTGAAAAAATAACAAGCGAGAATTTTTTTTCAGTTCGGCATAACTAAAACCACAGAACTAAATAGCGTAAAAAAGTTAAATGTTTGTTATTAACATGTATTCAGACCTTAAAAAAAAAAAATAAAAAAAAAAACTAAGATGTGGAACACGAAGTGAGAATGTACAGGTTTTTTTTTTTTTTTTTTTTTTTGTAAATTTGTTACTGTCTATATAATATTCGGGTATTTTCCAGAACCAAGATTGAAATCTATTAACTTCATGAAGAAGGAAGATTTCAGCAATAGAATTGTCGGGGGAGGGGGCTTTAAGTTAATAAATATAATTTTGTTTTCAGTATTATTATTTACTTCCTCCTTTTTTTCCTTCTTTTTTCTTTCGATATTTTAAACATATTCAACTGATAGAAGTTTGCAAGTACACGTGTAATACATTTTTGAGAATTAACATTTCAAATACGTACTTAGAAAAAGCATATTTAAACATTAATTTATTTCAACTTAATTCTTTGTGAATTACGGAGGAAAAAAAAAAAACGTAAAACACCATCACAAGATTGTAAGTCAATTCTAATTAAATGTTTCCCTTTACATAAGCAGGAAATGCAAAAATATGTTCAACAACTGATAATAGAATAACAAAGTAAAAAGAAGATTATAGTTAAGTACTACGCAACTACTGATTAAAGTAGAATTACAGATAAAACACATGGAAGCACTTGAATTGGTGCTGACAATTAACTATGCAAAAGAATAAGATCGCAGAAAAATTTATCCTAAAAGGGCCTTCAGCTATGTTTTTTTTCCTTCAAAAAAAAAAAAAAAAAAAAAAAAAAGGAAAAAAAGAGAGAGTTTAGTTATTTATAAAAACAAAACGAGTCTAATTACTAAAAAAAAGCAATTTAAATATAGTTTAATGAACTTAAAAAGAAATAAAACAATTGAAAGCAAATCCTTCTTGTTTTCATTTATTTTTTAATTGATATTCGATTTGTTTTTATAATTTCTTTCATTTGTCTGTTGCAGCTTTGAATGATATATTTGTATGTGTTTTAATTTTTAGGGCAGAGTCGATAAGTAAATTAAAATGTGCTAAGCAAATTTTCGATACGATATAATGAAATCTATGCAAAATAACCCCTTGTGGGACAATTTGATGATCTACTGACAAGTGGGCAAACCCATAAAGGGGAACTAAAATGTTTTGGCCTGTTACTTAAATCATTAAAACCAGCTTAACACCAACAAGTTCGACTTTAAAATATTGTGCAAGTTTCACTTTATGATAATTCATATTAATTGCAAGTAAAATTTATATTTTTTTATTTTGATGCCAAAACGAATACTACAAACTTTTACAGCATTGATTAAAATTAACTTATCATAAAAACAAATACCAATACCACTTTTAATCATGCAAAATGCAAATGCCCTGTATGTCTTTCCTGTAACCATAGCTAAAATTTGCACCTTTTTAAAGGCAATCACAACAACCCGTAGAAATATTTTAAATGAATACAATTACGAATTAGAAGAAAATCCCCGGATAAAAAAATCCCGGTTAGCGAAAGCAAATCAAAACACATCGTTAAAAAATCGCAATAAACTAAGAAAAAACAATACATTCGTTAAGCATTTCTTTATTTTTAATTCTCTTGACTTAACAAAACGAATCCTTAATAAAAAAATAAATAAAAGATTAAAAAAAAATCTTTCTAAATGATCCATGTACCCTCAAAAAGTAATTTCTAATACATCAATAATTAAAAATATAGCAATATTAATCGTCCAGATAACCTAACCCTGACGCTACGCTTGTAGGCATTAAAGCGATCTAAAAATAAATCAAACACAATAAAAAAATTTTTTTAAAAAAATCACAATTTAGTTAGTAAATTTAAAATTAATTTTATGCACTTTTTAAGAAAAAAAATTATCGCATTTTTTATCTAAGTGAATTTTTTGCAGTTAACTGCAATAAAAATTCAATAATGTATAAAAAAAAAATTTTTTTTTAAAAAATAAGCCTTTAAAACATTTCTGCTACATTTAGAAATAAAAGTCTGCGATAGAAATTCTTCGGACTGCCAAATTTGGCTCTAGGCCCGTAAATATTTAAGTGGTCTGAAATAAATTAATAAAACACAAAACATTTAAGAACTTTAAAAAAAAAAAGAAATGCAACATGGGTACCCAACATACCTAAGTAAAAAATGTGTAAATAAATCCATTTTTTAAAATTAATTCTTCCACCTATTTTTTTTAAAAATAAAATTAAAAAAATTATTTAAAAAATGCAATATAAATTCTTTCATTTACTAAAGCTCATGATTTGATACTAAGCTTGTAATACTAAACTAAAGAATACAAAAAATCAAATAAAGAAAATGCAAAGAAAAGTTAGTGTAATAAAGTACGTAAATTAAGGTAAATAAATAAATAACACACAATAGATTTGTGAATTTAAAAAAAATTGCAATAAGAATTTCCCTTACGATTTCAATAAAAATCCTCCCTGAGGAAAAAAATTACATAAATAAATATATTTTTTTTAATAATGCCTCTACCTGAAAAAAATTATACACGATTGAAAATCGAAGACAACACAAAGTAAATTCCTTCAACTGTCAAAGCAGACGATTTGATACAAAGCTGTAAACGTCTAAATTTAAGGGGGAAAAAGTAATGAGATAAAAGCAATTATAAAGAAAACTTACTCTGTATAATACGTAAGCTTCGACTTTTTTTCTTAAATGTAAGCCAATGCATCTTTAAGTAATCCATAAAAGCACAATCCCAAAAGTTTTTCGAACTATAAATTCACAATTCCATGAGACAACACAACTTCTCTTCGAACATCCCAACGACTTTTTTAACACATTCGGACATGCATCCACGTTTTTCTTTATGTCTTTTCCCTTCAGGTACTCAAGATAAACTGAGAGGAAAAGGAAAACAGAAGACGGCGGTGGAGAAGAGTGGGGGGGGGGAAGGGAAGCACCTGTAGAGGCTATGCTGGGAGGCAAGTTTTAGGGATGAATGGTAGGCGTACGAGTCCGCATACCACAAGTTTGGACATGTATGGTTGAATTGTTTTTACCACTTTTCGGAGACAGGAGCTTTGACATTTAACGACCTCAGGTAATTATTGAGAAGAAAAAAAGTTGATGACATCATAATCTAAGAAAACATATAAAAACTTTGGAGGAAAAATCAAGAGTCACAGGAAAATTAAACATTATATTCATACTATTTAACGTTATATTATGTAATTTTATGATTGATAATAACTTGGCCTTTTCTTATTTTATAACTTATTACAAAGACAAAATTTTCAATTTTGTACACGCATAAAAACGAGATAAGTATATCATCATGTCCCGTTAGTTTAAAGTGAATGTCTTTTAACATAAATTACTAGTCATATTATAAACAAACAATGCAATGCAAATTATACACAGGGTGATTACAAAATAACTTTGCTGACATATGACATTTTGGAGAGCATACCGGTTGAGAGAATGGAATAAAATTTCCTACCTACATATTATGATCTATGCTCTCAAAAATGATGTTAAGAAAGATTCCGTAAGTTTTCACGGTTGTAGTTCGTAAAAACAAAATTTCGAAATTCTCAAATGTCAACACTCACTTTTTTTTGATCGAAATGTAATCTTTACAGTGAAAAACCTACAATGGAGTTAGAACGGTATTTTTAGCACAAGAAATTACGTTCGCCAAGCGTCGCCATTTTTCGTGACCACTGACGGGACAATGATAAAAACTATTAAAAACACAGACAAAAATTACAAAGAAAGCATTTAATGTTTTAAAATTACTTGACACGTCCGGCATATCCTTAGTTTCTTCTTTGTTTTTAAAGGTTTTTATCACACTCTCTTCTCGTTAATGGTCACAAAAAATGGCGACGCTTGAAAAAAGTCTTGTGTTGCCAATTTCTTGAGCTAAAAATGTCGTTCCAACTCCATTTTAGGTTTTTTTACTGCAAAGATCAAGTTTCGATCAAAAAATTGGGTGTTACTATTTGAAAATTTTGTCATTGTAATGGTAACCGTGAAAGCGACGTAATCTCTTTTAACACCATTCTAGATCATAATACCCATGTACAAACTTTGTACTCAGTTCACACAAAAGGCATGCTTTCTAGAGGAGCATACGTAGTCAAAGTTATTTTATAAGCACCCTGTACATATTCTTGTCAGATTTTGCAGGGAATTTGCATACGAATTAAACGCCTTAATGATGTATTTGCATATGTATGCAAATACGTTCATACGTCAAACTTTAATCGAATATAATGCTTTCAAGTACTTATAGTGTGTAAGAAATGATTATAATGCTTTTCGTGCTCATTTTGCACTAAAACTGCATACGCATTTAATGTTAATGTTTCCTAATACTAACGCACATTTGCTTACGAATATGTTTCTCTTCTAGCTTTAACTATAATGCTTTCAAGCACTTATAACATGTATTTGCATACGAATATAATGCTTTTCGTCAAATTTTGTAATCAAATTGAATACAATTTAACGCTTTCAAGTACTTTTAACATGAAACATTTTATTACGTTAATTTAAATTTCATTAGTTGAAAACATTATTTTTAACGTGGATAGAAAATTTATTTTCGCAGCACGTGCTCAGAAATTGATGATTCACAATAATTTCTGAAATATTCCATATCTGTATTATAGTATAGATTATTTCACTGTTACAGGTGTTGAATGAAAGAGATAAATTGAATCTGTCTAGGATATGGCTGAACTGTTTCTCTTATAAAGAATAGTTTTTGTACTTTACATATCAATCGAAAATTTTCTTTCACTCCACAAGTGTTAACCAAGATAAATAAGCATGTTTTCTTGACAAATCCCTTTGTTCTATAGGGGTGGTCTCCCTCATCCTCACAGGTTGTTCTGAGAAACTTGATTCAACTCCTTTCTATGTAATTGATCATTGAAACACCTGGACAATAAAATTTTTCAAAATTCCTCAAGTTTCTTTAACGGATTTTATTTAATTATTTTCTTCATTTCTTTACCGCTAATTTTTGTCTTATACTTCAAAATAAAAATTTTAAATTTTTGATTAAAAATAAAAATTGTAAATTTTTCATTTTTAAATGCTATTGATAAGCTAGATGACTTTTGAAAAGCATTTGCAAATATGAGGGGGGAAAAAAAACAGGAGCAATTACTGTAGTCAGCCTCCAATTAAAAAAAACAAAAGTATTTACTTTATTTAACTTTCTTTAATAAGAGTCAATGTTTTTGAAAAAACATTAAAATAAATGTTTTTAAAAAAAACATTTAAAAAATGTTCTTTTAAGAGATAAAATTTTTTATAAATATTTTAATTTTTTACTATTTATGTAAATACTTTAAATGTAACCCGATAAAAAATAGTAAATTTTTCTTTATAAGTTTAGTTATTGAATTGAATTCAAAATTTTAAAAAAATAATAATGTGCGTCTGCATTACTTTAAATAAACATTAACATATAGTTTTTTAATGTTCATGTAACATTGCGCTGCTGCAAAAATAAATTAATGCAAGCAAATTTAACAGACCTCTTCAAACTTCGTGCTCTGAAAATTTTTAAAATTCAACGTTAAGATTTTTAAAAAAATACTTGTTAAGTAATGCATTATACTTAAAGTAATCGAAAGCATAGATGAGAATGAGATGTTATTTTGAATTTTATAATTTTCTTTTCAGTTTTAAAATTTATTTCGGTGAGTCAATGTAAACAAATTTTGACTGCATTTATGCATTAGGTTTTTATTTTTAATTCTAATATTTTCAAAATATTGCTTTATATAAAAAAAAACAATATTTAAAATATTAAATATGCATATTTTATTTAATGTTGCATTATTTATAAGCATATTGATATGCTTAAAGTCTCATTGTGTTGAAAAAATTAAGACAAAATAGTATTTTATTCTTTATTTATATTTAAATTAATAGTACTAAAACATAACTTTAATTTCACTTTTTTCTATGCACACATGTATGCGGCCGATTTGAAGTTTTAATCCTTTTGATCATTTCATTATTTTCAATTTTTTTTTTTTTTATTGAACAAAAATATATTACATTAAATTTTCTAAGCTCTTCTTAAAATTTGTAATAATTTAAATGAAGAAAATTTTTTTTAGTTTTCATAAATTGATACTAACGTTATGTATTATTATACTGCTATATTTAAAATAATGAAATATGACATTTTCGAATGTGCTGAGAAGCATAAAAGTTTACTTATACATTCATTATTAATACAATAAATAGCACAAAAAAACTTTAAAAAAAAAAAAAAAGATTTTGTTAGAAAACATGCACCTAACAGAAAAATGTGTAGGGGGTACATTGGTAAACTTGCAAAACCACAAATCAAAGTGGGAAAATCCGTTTCTTGAATGACAGCTTTCTCCTCCCCCCTCTTAAACATAAGTATAATTTCTTATATAAGAATTCTTGAGTATATTACAACACTAGGGTAAAGGTTAAGAAAGTTGAAGGTAAAATAAAGGTATAATATACTTATTATTACAGCAATATTAATAAAATAAGTGAATACATTTACATTGTTTAACGGAGGCATATTTCCTTCGAACATTGTTTATTATCATCATTAATATTAATAACAATAAAAATAGATTTTATCCCATACAAATTTCTTAATAACTAAGTTACAGTAAAATTTTTATTTTTTAATTATTTAAAGAAATATTAAACTGTCTATTGTTCGAATAAGGAAAACATGCAGGAATGAAAGAAAAAGAAAAGAAAAAAAAGGGGGGGAAACCTCAAGTTAAAAAAATAAATAAATGGAAATGAAATTACATAAATACGAAGTAATGAAACAAACGTGTGTGTGAAAAACAGAAAGAGAGAACAATCGGAATAGGTTTAATATCCATAAATTCTTATATCGCGAAATTCTTGCCTGGTAAATAAATCGTATAATAATTATCTCCATTACATTAAAAAATCTAAAATAACAAATTAACATACTAGTGAGCTTGTACGGTCGTTAAGGAAAATATTTCTTAGCGGTAGTGTGCANATGCACACATGTATGCGGCCGATTTGAAGTTTTAATCCTTTTGATCATTTCATTATTTTCAACTTTTTTTTTTATTGAACAAAAATATATTACCCTAAATTCTGTAAGCTCTGCTTAAAATTTGTAATAATTTAAATGAAGAAATTTTTTTTCAATTTTTATAAATTGATACTAATGTTATACATAATTATACTGCTATATTTTTAATAAAATATGACATTTTCGTATGTGCTGAGAAGCATAAAAGTTTACTTATACATTCATTATTAATAAAATACAATAAATATCACAAATAAAAAAAAACAAAAAAACTACACAAAAAAAAGGTTTTGTCTGAAAACATGCGCCTAACAGAAAAATGTGGAGGGGGTATTTTGGTAAACTTGCAAAACCACAAATCAAAGTGGGAAAATCCGTTTTTTGAATGACAGCTTTCTCTCTCCCCCTCTTAAACATAAGTATAATTTCCTATAAGAATTCTTGAGTATATTACAACACTAGGGTAAAGGTTAAGGAAGTTGAAGGTAAAATAAAGGTATAATACATTTATTATTACATTAATATTAATAAAATAAGTGAACACATTTACATTGTTTGACGGGAGGCATATTTCCTTCGAACATTGTTAATTATCACCATTATTATTAATAACAATAAAAATAGATTTTATCTCATACAAAATTCTTAATAACTAAGTTTCAGTAAAATATTTCTTTTTTAATTATATAAAGAAATATTAAACTGTCTATTGTTCGAATAAGGAAAACACGCAGGAATGAAAGAAGAANGGGGGGGGGGATTTCAAGTTAAAAAAATAAATAAATGGAAATGAAATTACATAAACCCAAAGTAATGAAACAAACGTATGCGTGAAAAACAGAAAGAAAGAACAATGGGAATAGGTTTAATATCCATAAATTCTTATTTCGCGAAATTCTTGCCTGGTCTAAGTATTGATAAATCGTAAAATAATTATCTCCATTACATTAAAAAATCTAAAGTAACAAATTAACATAATAGTGAGCCTGTACGGTCGTTGAGGAAAATATTTCTTAGTGGTAGTGTGCATATATATATACATATACAATCGAATACACTTATAACGAACCCTATTTTAACAAGAACTCGGTTTTAATGAACAAATCGAAAATACTTGGTTGATGTAATGTTAAGTCTACTGGAGCAGAGCTCGCTTTTTAATGAGCAATATTTTTGTGATTTATAATATTTCTGTGTTTTTCTACCGCTCCATGTTAGATAATCCTACTTGAAAAAAAATTGTTTATTTAATATTCCAAAGACAATTGAAAGTTAGTATGAGTCATAAATCCAGCAAACACATGAAATTTTTACGAAAGCAGGGTTGTCGATCTTTTCCGGGCCTTGAGTCATATTCGAAGAAAAACAAATCTTATACAACAGAGACAATAAGACAGTTCACAGTACTGTACAGAAATAAATAAAGTAAATATTCTATTTATAACTTAGAAAGTATGTATAAGCTTCTGCAATTCATTTTTGTATTTTTCTAACTTTAGAGGTTTATGTTTATCATAAGATTTATTTAATTTTAAGATACAAAATGCGACTTTAAGGAATAAAAGCACCGCCTTCATAGAAAAAAAAAATTATTTTAACTGGATGATACATTGAATAAAGAAAGAGATATCCCAGTATGAGAAAAATAAGTGCACTCTTGTCTG